TAGACACCTGTAAAACTCAGCCGAGTGAGACTTTCAAACTCAAATTTATGCTTCATGTGTCAGAACTAAATTGGTGCATTTACAGATCAGTTGTGAGAGTGCGGTATCGTAGATCTGTTTTGGAATCCAGCAATGGACTTGTTACTGTCTTGCTAAAATAAAGTACGCTTGTTTTGTTCACAACAGATTTCTTAGGAAGCATGCCTATCTCCTTACATGATTTGTTTCAAGTAATTTAATAAATTCAGTCACTAAAATAAAATCTTAATGGGTGATTCAATCCAAAATGCCAAAATAAAATTATTGCAAATAAAGAGGCATATACAATTACACTCATATTCAGAAACTGCTTTGTGATTTTGATGAAGACTCAGAAACAAAATATTACTCTAAATGGCTTAAACAGTGCATTTCCTTTTTTATTTGTTCTCTTTTCCTTCTTACTATCTTGGACCTGTTTTTCCCTCTTCCATACTGGGACTCACATCTTTGCCATACACATTTTTACATTTGAATGAGATTATGAATTTATGACTCCAGGAGATAAATAAATAAATATATATATATATATATATATATATATATATATATATATATACTATAAATGGTATTGCTGGTATTGCACTATTTTCTTTATACCTTGTAATCTTATACTTATGAAGAATAAACCTTAAAAATAAGGATCTGCCAAATAGGTACTATAACATATAATAAAATGCATTAAAATTTATAATTAGGATAATAAGATTTAGGGAATTTAAATACCAAGCAGTTAGCAGTTACTTACAAAATACCAATGAAATAATTCTGGATTAATTGGCATAATACTGAATGCAAAAACAACCACATTTAGTACATCAATAAAGAAGACCTGCAAAAGCCTAGATGGGAACCATTCTGAGTTGGTTATGATCACAAATAGGGGAAAGTCAAAAGTCTTCGGTATGACTGCTAAAAGATTTCCAGGAGAAATTCAGAGGTTATTACTTTATTATTGTAAGATTTTGACCTAGGATGGGTATCATTCTTTTGCAATGAATGTTTAAGTTTTTCCTCTTTAGCAGGAATAAAGTATGCCTAACACCGGGGAACACAGAGTTGAACATGAAACTTAATTATAGCTGAAGATCCAATGAAATGAAATGCTGCACATTCCTCTAAATAGTTGTATCTAGGATTGCAAACTTGGAATAATCAAGCTAGTACAATGGCTGTCTCTTTATGTTGGCCAGTAGAAAACTTATATATTTGCAGTTATTACTTGCAAATATATCAGACGTCATGGATACATTTCGTACTGATTTCACTCTTGGTCCATTTGATTCCGTACTATGTTTTCCTTCTGCCTAATGTTTAACTGATTTTAATTTATTTTCTTACTGTGGCATATTAACCTTTGTAAATCATGTGTAGAGACATAATCATATCTAAGGATTCCCCCAAAGTATGACTGTCCTATAAATGCTGTCTGATAGCACTGATGTTAGTAATCTCAAGTTTAATTTCAAGGATTATCTAGCAGTGTAACATAGACTCAATGATTTCTACAGAGTGGTTAGTCCCCCATTTTACAAGTTGTTGTCTTCCTGCCACAGGTCAGAATGTTTTACATAATCCACACTACCACTGTAGTGTAAAGTAGAGCAATAATGAAGACCCTTCTCTAAGGTTTAGTTTGACAGATTTGTGCAGAAGCAAATTAGTAACAGAGATCATTTCAGCTGTGCAACTATAGTTAAAGAAAAGCCTGCCTGTTGTCGGCAGTTGCAGAGGGTCAAAGTCCTCAGCAATTAGTTAAAAACAAATCATGGAAGAATCCATTCTGATTCTGTCCTGTATCAGTACCGGATAACAATGAGATACAAAGACAATAAGTGCATGTCTAAGGATATGGAAGCTCAAAAAGAAGAGGCTCCAGGCATGTGCAACTTGAGACAGTGTCGGACGCTTGCCTTGGCGTGGGAGAACTGGAGATCAAACCCACCCTCGTCATCTCTCATTTGTGTCATGAGGTCAGTCAGCCATTCTTAACTAACTCTTTCTCTTATGATTACTAAATGACGACCACCAGCAAGCACTTGCTGTCAAGTCTCCAGTTCAGAGCAGGAAGGCAACTTCCTCTGATAATTATTTGTTTTACTAGCTACATTTAAATTTTGCTTTTCAGCTCCCTTTATAATTTTATTTGTGACAGCTCCGAGAATGTCGAGTAATTCTGCTCTGGTGCTCCCCACACCAGCGGTCTTCCTTGTTTCTTTCTCCTTTCCTTTCTCGTACTCGCAGCTCTTCCGCTGGAGTGACCCTGTCACAGTTCACACATTTCATCCTCCAGTCGAAGACTGTAGTGTGACTGGCCTCCCGGGTTAGGTATCAGCCCTGCTGGAAAGCTGGGTGTGCGGGGAGCTGCACAGAACCATCTCGGACATAAATGCTTCCATCAGGGGTACACAGACTCTCTCCCTAGAGTTCCTTGCAGAGAAAGAAGAATCCGAAAGACTGA